GAAGACGGACAATAAGCGCAGAAAAGAGTGAAGTTTAGGCGCTAGGGTGACAACCCAACCCCCCGTAAAAACCACAATAGCAACACCTATTGAAACTTCAAGTCCCAAAGCTACAATCTCCATATTGCACTTGGTACGCAAAGGAATGCAAAAAAAACTAGGTAGAGTCGTCGACCGTCACAAAGTAAATGTGTGACTCACAGCCTGTCAACTAACTAACTGACGCTTTCTTATATATGATTCATGCCAACAATCAGACAGTTCATGGGTTGTGTTACTATGTGTTATTTTATTATTATCGTTAATTTCCTTGTGACTTCATTCTCTTCTGTGTGACATGGAGAACGCAGGAAGATGGTGGCTTAAAATGCATAACTGGCGCTTAAAGCACTCCGATTAATTCAAGTTCTCAATACCGTTGAAGTTTTGTTATTGTCACTTTCGTTAAGCTACCTTCTTGTTACAAAAACAACACTAAAAGGTTAGCGAACAAATTAATGAAATAAAATATTTACATGGTGGATGGTGGTTTAAAAAGCATTGTATGCATATAGAATTGTGTAGGGGATCATTACTTCCAAGCTTCCCACACTGTGGAAGTTGATTTCTTCTGTAGGTATCTGAAAAAGAAGGAGCATCAGTATTGCGTGACCGCCAAGCCCAAGGAATAAGGACTTGAGGCCGATCATACATGGTCTGTTTAAAGTGGTTTTTGAAACTGAGTCCATGTTCAAATCTTACTATCTGCTACTGGCCGCCTCAAGGTAATTCATTGTATGTACAGCTCCCAGGATCAACCTTTTCTCCCCCCCCCCCCGCCTCCAGAGAGGAAAGGCAACATAACTGACTTTCTGGTCATCTGCTCCTGTTACATTATTAATAAACAGGAGTACGTCTTCTGCATTAGAGACTGCTTTTGGTCTAACCGCTATTCAAACGACCTTTCCAACATGGTAAAACCTGCAGAAGGATTATTTCTAGTCAGTGTGATTCGTTTGGTCATTGCAATATGCAACTTTCGGTCGGGATTTGATTAGTAGTCATTCAGTCAAACGAATTCTCGAGCAACTCATAAACCAGTAAAACTAAACAGATAACCGGTAATAATCGAAGGTGAAATCCAGATCTTACCCTGCCCAGGATTTGAACTATGCCTTCTGGCTTCCAATTTACTAGTCTAGCGGTCTACCAGTTGAGATATGTGAGCCACCTTTGTCTTAGAAAACACAATGCAACCAATATTTGTCTAATTTACAGGCATCATTTCATCCTTTAATTTCATTTCATTTTTTGCTTTAATAGTCATTTTTAACATTATATATTATACAGTTTTAAAAGGTCATTCGAAAAGTATAAATGTTAAGTCTTCACTTTCGTGCATTCAACTGCGATTGTGATAAATGTCAAAGATAGTAGTAGAGCAGAAATAAGCGATGATCATCTGCCATCAGGTTGATAATACGTTTTGACGTGAAGTATTTACTTTCTTCGCATTTTCTTTCTAACGTTTCGCAGTTGTTTTCTTCATGTTTTTCTTTGGAATGTTGTATACTACACGGCTTTTATATAAATAAATAAACATCAGTCCAGTATTTATAAAAATAGGTAAAGGTGTTCGGTTCACTTAACTGTCAGTTTTTACGCCTCACTGTGCGTGACTGATAAGTGAGCTTCAACATACAACTATGCACAGAAGCACCGTAGTTCAAGTTGCCACAACACTCCATGTAGCACACAAAGATATAGAGAGAAGAAATTCAAAGATC